GAGAAAGTAGGGTTTGTTTCTGATTTAATGCTGCCTAATTGATAAAAGGGATAATGTTCAGGGAACAGAGTCAGCTTTTAAAGTCTATGTCAGTCAGAAAGGTGATCAGCAATGAGCAGAGAGGAGAGAAGCAGAGACACGGAACCCAGCTCAGCCCAGCCAGTCCCTCTGCCTTGTTAATCCATTAGTCAGATGTTAAGAGTTGGGGTTATCCAGGTGCCTGGTTACTATAGTGACCAGTTTATAAACTACTGGGACCACTGTCCTTCAATTGGAACTTTTGCATGTTAATTTTTTTATGATGCAGATAAAAGATGTTGTCACCCACTGGTCACATAACCTTTGGCAAGTTACTTAACTTTTCCTAAGACAAATTTCTCTCTGTATGCAATGGGACTAATCATGCCTGCCTACCACTTGGGGAGATGAAATGAGAAAATATATGTGAAAGTGCTTTGGGAAGCACAATGTACTACCTATATATCTGTCATTTTTATACCCTTAACTGGCTACTGTCAACCTGGCATGCCAACTGAAGACAAAGTTGTGTGTTACCTAGGTGCATGTACTAATTTATGGAGGTCATCCTTGGTATCTCCTGCTGGCACATTTGTATTTCTTTTAAGAGTAAACAGCAGTTCAGAAATAAGAAAAGCTATTGGATGGTAAATTTGTTGAAAAGTCCATGGCAGGGAACTTGGAATCAAAGAATCAACGTAAGTAATTAAGAGCAAGGATGATTAACTTATGTAAATCACACCTAATTGTCTCAATAGACCAGAAGTTGAACATCAGCCTATGTTCTAACTGTATTAACTGATAAGGACAAGACAGTTTCTAAGTTTCTTGATATATTTGTTTGTTTCCATGTGAATGAGATTTAGAAGGAATACTGCTCTAAGTGGCCCACTAGAATACAATTTCATTAGTGCAAATCTTGTACTGTAATATTTCATCGGACAGTCTCTCAACTCCTTCCATTCAATGGCAAGAAAATGGAGTGGTAACAATATATAAATATATATGTTATTATTCAGTTTATAATGGCCTTTTATGTGCATGATCTCATTTGATCTTTACTAGCCTTACTGCAATTCTTATTATAATCCTCAGTGTCCAAAGGGTGAGGTGAATTCTCTAGCCTGAAGCTGTAGAGTGACTGCTGCTTTTCCACCAGACCACAGCTGCCCCGTCTCACACAGTACATATTTTGCATGGCCAGTAGACATCACCATTGTAGAAAACATCAGTAGGCAAAAACTTTGTCCAGGACTGCCCCCTCCCCCTCCCCGCCAGTGATCTTCAGGTATGGACACAATCTCTTGGTGTCATTTGAGAACTGGCTTCTGCAGGAAGGAGAGGAGATGTGTCACAGGAGGGAGCTCTGCTTCCCTGGACTGTAAAAGGGACGGTGTTATTGGACCTGGGAAAAAGGTTTTTTCCCTTCCTGTTTCTCTCCCCACTTCCTCACTCTCTCAAGCTGAATTTGAGATTTCTTACTCTTACCTTTTCCGTCGGTATCCCTGTTCCTTTCTCCCCACACTCTCCAACTCCCCTCTTTTGACTGCAGTGTCTGCTTTTCTCTATCGAAATTATTAATATCGTCAGGATCTTTGTAAGGTTCTTTGAGGTGGGGGTAGAACATGGGTTCTGTGTCCGTGTCATCACTTGCTCAGTGCACTAACACTGACGTCTGGCTGGCTGTAACTGTTTCTGCTTAGCTGGGCAATCAGGCAAGCCCAGCTAAATAGGCGGAGGCTGAGAACTACTTGGGGATTTTGAAGAAATTAAATAGTTGCAAAGGTTTGTGTGTGTGTGTGTGCACGCATGGGGTGGAGTGGGAACACATTAAAATATAATGTGGCTATCTAATAACTATTTCTATATTTTCATTTGAAGTTGGCTGCTAGTTTCAGATCTATTAGTTCATTCATTCAGCACCGCCATTAACCTCCTCCTAATCACCAGGTAGTTTTGAAGGGAAGCATTTCACACCTGAGACAAGGGAGGTGGCTGCTGAGTCCAAATGAAGAATAAAGCAGGGAACTAGCCAGAGGTTAGCCCCTCAGTTAAGTGGCACATTCTGTGGATGCCTTAGCAGACAGAGGGGTGACCACATAGCTCTACCTGGTGGCCAAGGGTTCTGGCCTCTAGCTTTTTTGGAAATTGAAGTAGGACTCTCATAACATAAAATTAACCATGAGCCCTTTTTAAAGATACAATCCTGTGAAATCTAGTACATTGACTTTGTTGTGCAACTGCTACCTCTGTCTAGTTCCAAGACATCTTCATCTCCCCAGAAGGAAACCTCATCTATTCTCCCCTCTTCCTAAGCCTGGCAACCACTAATCTACTTTCTGTCTTTATAGATTTACATATTGCGAATGTTTCATATAAATAAAATCATATAGTATATGATTTTCTGTATCTGGCTTTGCATATAGCCCTTTCACTCATGGCCGAATTCCTAGGTCAGAGCTGGTCTAGCTGTGGGGTGGTGGAAGCCACAGTCCTGCGATGGCCTGCTAAGAATCCCGTTTGTCTGAGTAAATTCTCCTTTGTGAGGGTCCCACGGCCAGAGTGCATGTCAGTTTTGAGTGGTGTAGGAGGTACCAGACTCCTCTTTGATCATTTTTCTATAGCAAGAGAAGGAGGGAAGTGGATCGAGGATGTATGCAACCTGCTCACTTTGCCCCTTGTCTTTTCCTCTTTCCTAAGGAATAGCTCCCTCCCATCTCTTACAGAAGGAGTGCTGTTTTTAGTTCTTTGTTGGCCCTCACCATGCTACAGATTTTTCCGTGTGTGTGTGTATGCATGTAAAACCCAGTGTTCCTTCTGGGGATGATTTGATTGATGTATACACTGGAAACATCTTTAATAATTTAATGCTTGCTTCAAAGGAGATTACACCAAAAAGCACATTGCTTTTCACTTATTCATTACAGATCTGTCATAGAAGCATCTTTTTTTTTTCACCCTGAATTGTAGTGTTGTAGTAATAATAAGTTTTGTACTACACTCAGGATATTTTAAAGGATTATAAACCTTTTAACTAATATTACCATCTTATGTAAATTGGTCAAATTGGTATTTCAGCCCCATAATCTTGCATTTTTAGTTGAGCTAACCAGATATGGCTTCATTTGATGACTATAAAAATAGCTGTGCTGGGAAAGTCTAATAGAACTAATGGGATGAAAGCATAATATTGCTTGTTAGTAGTGGTGGTAATAACAGTGAGGAGAATGGAGCCTGAATGTAGGACTGGGTGTCTCCTTCCTTAAAAAGAGATCAGGGTATATATATCTCAGCCCAGCCCTTTGCATTAAAAGGAGGAAAAAAACTGTGTATGTTTGGGGATTGGGAGCAAAGAAAGTGGTAAGATGAGAAACACAAAACTAAAAAAAACTAGAAACCAACACTCTATCATTTTACAACTTTTAGGTATCAATCCAGATTTCAGTAAAGGAAAACCGACTTTTCCCCATTTAGACGGAAGTAGTCACCTTACTGGACTTTAGCAAGCTCTTGTCATATATTCTCAGAGGCAAGAGATATATCTAGATTCATCAATGATTACAGTAAAATCGGAGTTTTCTGTTATTATTATTAAAGATTTTTTTAAATTTAAGGAATGCTATATTACTCCTCTTTAAAACCAAAATTCAAAGTTGCTCTGAATAGGGCAAGCTTAGGCACAGTAAGGGTTACAGTTTCTAGGAGAGGTGATAGACAGTTATCCAATTCTCAGAGATAATTTACGAGCTGCTCTAGGCCCATTAGCTCAAGTCAAGGTGCCTGAGAGCCCTTCAGATGTCTCTTAGGATCCCACCGTGAGTGACCCCTGCCTCCCCAAATCCCTCAGTCACCAGGGAGGGAACTTGCTGTCTCTGGTCCCGAGACCCCCGGGCCTTTGCATGGTCTCTTCTGATACGTCAGTGGGCAGCCACCCCCAGTGTATTCATTAAGGGCAGTGAAGAAACATGGTAGCTTCAGGGAAGAATAGATCATAACAAATGGGAAAATATTTTAATTTTTCTTAGGATTGTGATGTGCCAGGTGGTTTGCTTGGCATTGTATATAATTTGTTAATCCCCATGGAAGTTTTATTATATATATTTCCACTTTACAAGTGGGAAATCTGAAATTCAAAGAAGTTAGTTAACAGCCAGTAAGTGCCTGGCCAGGACTTGAACATGTCTTTCTCCAAAGTCTTGGCTGTGGAACTTGTCCTCCTCTTCTCTTTTAAAGCAGACTTATATGTATCCAAAAAAAAAAAAAAAAGTAAAAATGCCTAAAGTTTATGAGGTACTTAAGCATTTATTATTTTTATAGAAAGAATATATAGTTTCTTGGCCTTGAATCTGCATGACCATCAATTTTTGTGTTTAGAGATGTACTGTCAGCTCTCTTAGGCACCGTATGGAAAGCGGTCCACATTTGTTTTTAGAACACCTGGATTCACACCCAGGCCATCACCACTGCCCATTATTTTTTGTATTTAGAGATTCAAATACATACCAGGCACTGGTGGTGAGGATGATAAACTCTCCACAAAGAACTTTTTTACCTCCTTCCCTGGGCCAGCCACTGCACTAGACATTGGCCAAGGCCCCTGCCATTTAGTTTTCTCTCTGGTGTGAGGATTGAGGACATTAATTCTGGAGTCACACGCTTTGTTCTCATTCTGGCTCTTCCACTTGTAAACAGTAGGATGTTGGGCTAACTACTGGGTCCCCCTTACCTTCGTTTTCTCACCTGTAAAATGAGAATAATACCAACCTTACAGTGTCGTTGTGAGGATTAAATGAGAAAACACTTGTGAAGAGTGGTATACAGGAGGTGCTCAGTAAAGGTTAACACATGAGGCACTGTATATATTGCAAGTGTAAGGGAGTTTTACGTGACTGTAATACACAATTATGACGTTGTTATATTGTGCGAGGGAAAGTCCCTGTTACACTTCCTACTTTTATCCGCTACTCCTCTTGCTCCATCAGCGGCCAGCAGAAATAGTAGATGAGGAGGAAGATGGAGAGAAAGAAAACAAGGAAGTGGAACAGAAGGAAGACTTTTCAGGATTGAATGGCGAAGTTGAGGAGGAAGGAGGTAGGGAGGCTGCTGGCGATGCTCCAGGGCAAGCGGAGGAGACCTCGCATCCCAGGGCGGAGCAGGCAGGTCCTGCTCGTGGGAGTGGAGCCACTGATGAAGAAAATGGCGAGGAACTGGACCAGGTTAATAATGAGCTGCGAGAGGCTGTGGACGAGGAAGGGCAGTCTCAAGGAACTGGCAGTGGACCAGAAGAGGTATTTCTATTGCTTTTGCTCACTCGTGTGCCTGCATGAATATGTGTGTGTGTGTGCATGAGTGTGCACCGTGCACACCCTTAGGGAATTATTCAAGCACTTAGGATTTGAAGGCAGTGACACTTCCAGGATTCCATACAGCAGGGTTTGAAAAGCAGCTAATGCTCATCTCACCCCCTTAGTTTTCAGTCTAGTGGGTGAAAGATTGTAATGGGATGATATCATTAGCATATGAGAAGTCCGAGTGGCAGGGTTGCTGTTGCAGAAGCCGCCTTTAGGTTTTCATCTTCTGTCCTGCTCTTATCTACTTGATGCTTGATGGTACTTGGTACCATAGTCACAAAGAATTTGTCAATTCTAGTAGAAAACTAATAGGAAGACATTTGGCATGGGGCTGGATTAATGTGACGTGAGCGTAAAATTGCTGCATTTCACTTTTTTCTCTGAAAAACACCAAAGCGAAAAGTGTAAATATGTTGTTGAAAAGCTCAAAAGGAAATAAAGGAAAAAATTGAGAAAAATAACAACTTTAAACACATGGTGGGTTATGGTCCCAGAAAGGGCTCCTGAACAAGGAAAGATTGAGATTGGCGTGTCCGCTGGGTAACGATAAACTAAACAACAAAAGGAACCCAAGGAACTGTTTGTAGCTAAATATTTATAAGATTAAAGGCAACACTGAGTCATTTTTTCCTTGTAAATTTTATTGCCTTTGTCACTAAAGAGCTAAATATCTTTGTTTTCATCTCTTTTCCTCCAGGCTGACATGGACCCTCAAAGACCACCAAGGCCAGAAGTAAAAATCACTAGTCCACAAGAAAATGATAATAATGAACAAAACAAGGATAATCTGTCACAGCATAGATGATATTTTAAGAAGAGTATATAGATCATAAGAAAAATGAAGGGTTATAATACTTGAATAATAAGTATATAGTTATTGCTAAACATAATGTGACAATACGGTTAAGTACTACCTACTGAAGTTTAAAATTAGAGGCCTAATGGAAAGACTAGATAACTTTGAATAGCTACTGAAGGCAAGTGACTTCTTTTTATGGGATGTGTTTTTAAAAGTCATTTAGAAAAATTAAATAAGAATGGTGGAGGGGAATTTGCCCTGGAAGACAATTGGCCACTTGTCTTTATAAAGAAGAGAAGAACAGGATCATTCCTATTGTAAACTTTCTTATAAATTTAGAGGTAAGATTATTAGATGGCAGTTTATGCTAAACCACGTACCTAAGAAGGCATAGAATTTAAAAAATCATAATAGGAAAGCATGTACTTTTTTTTTAACCAATAAACTCTTTTTTTTTCCCCAGCAATAAACTCTTGAATAAACAACTTGCAGTTTAGTTTCAGAGATAATTTGGAGATGGCAGTAGACTGAACTGTTTCTGTGTCTTGTTGACATTCTTTTCTTTCCTCCTCCTGGGCTGAAATCCACCATAAAAAAATGAAAAGGACAATGCATGATACTCATTTTAGATGGAGGAAGTGTTCACTCAGTATATTCCTGACTAATATTGTCATGCCCCTCCCTTAGCTGCTTCAGGTTTTAATCCTTATGGCTTTAATGACACACACTCAGGAAGAAATTAACAAGGAACACCTAGTTATTATCACTGAGCCTGGCTGGATGTTTTGCAAATTCTGGTATCCTGTGGATTTTCTCTGATCCAGTCTACCATTTCCAATAATATTCCTTTCTTCTCCTTCACATTATGGTATTAGAAGAAAACACAATATTGGCTATTCCAAAGATTGAATTCTCTCCAGACAGTTCTTCTTTTAACAAAAAGGACAAGACAATGTAATAGAAAAAAAGTAGGCTATGTGAAGAGTTTGTCACTCCTCAATATCATTGCCTTTTTGCTTTATTTCTCTTAGGACTGCCTCCTCATACTTTTTTCCCCTAGGAATATCAGCAAATATTTAATTTCATGGCCAGTTGTATTTAGGCTTTCAAGCAGATTCCTTTCTATATAATTAGAAGTTATATGAGAGAAATTGCTGAAAAAAGTTTAAAAATTATCGTAATGAAACCAGCTCCTGATCACAGATTTGTGGGTTAATTAAATTAACTCAGATTGCCTTATTAGGTATATACGGGAAAAAACATAATCGTATTAGTATTTGTTTTTTGAACTCTTAAGAAATGACGCAGTTCTTCCTTAAATGTAAAAATATTTTCCCATATTAAAGAATATTTTTGTTAATTAACTTCTAGTGCTTTCATAGAATTCATTATTAATGATAAGTTTAAAAGATTTTTTTTCCTCTCCAGTTTTCATAACCAATCATTTGGAATCAAAGTAGTTATATAAAGCACTTAATAATACTACAGAAAACAGATGTATTTTTCCTAGAAGCTATTTTAATATTTTCCACAAATAGGAAGTATATACAGAGACTATAATATGACAGTATTGGAAAGAGATACTGATATAAGGGTAGATTAATCTGGGAGGATGAATTGTAAATTGAGCTGTATTTCTAACATAAACTCTAGATTGTGCTTTCTACTAGCAGGCTTACTTTTTCAAATGGGACAATATAAAGCCTTCAGACTAGAAGCAATAATCTTGTAATGCTAGGGAAATAAACTACTTGATTTTTTTAAGGTTTAAATTCCCACACTATTACTGGGCCTGGGGTTAATAATTTCAAAAAGCTTATAAAAATAAGGGATTAAATATAAGAAATTGTAACTAATTATCAAGCTGATTCATTCTCTTTTCTTTCTTTAATGAAGAGTTTCTTCTTTAATAAAGCTATTCTGTCTTTCTCTTTTTTCCTGTTCTTTTCTTCATAGTACTAAAATTTAGGTTTTTGAGAACTGTTTAAGAGTCATAGAGAAGCACAATGTTACTTTAAATGAAAAACTAAGTTTGGTATTTTAAGTATACTTCAAGAAGGTGATAGGCCACAATACTGGTAGGAAAGAATTAAAAAATGGGGATATAATACTTTTCTTGTATGTGCATATTTTTACCACTTGTCTACAAGATGTAATTGTGACCTAACTTGAGGGGATGAACAGTCACTAATCACTTTAAAACACTTTGCAAGCATATATTCCTTAAAAAAAAGGGGGGGGGAAAGAAAGAAATATGTCATCTAACCCTGAAATAAATCATTCACAGAGAATTAAAATTGTGGACATCACTTTGGAGATGACTTTAACATAAATGATGAAAGTTAATTCACCTCCCAAACGTGGACGGTTCCTTTGTGGGAGTGGTGGCCTCTGTGGCACACCAGCACCACAAATTGAGTGAGACTCACTGACAGATTTGGAGACCCGTTATGCGAGGAAACAGGAGAGATCTTGGTTAGGCTTCAGGGATTGTTTTACAGGGAGGATGTTAGGAAATACTCAGGTAGCTTTCATGTGAGAACCAATGATAGAATGCTTTCATCTGTTAGTTCTTTGGGGTAGACTGTCATAGTTCCAATTTTAATGGAATGCTTTTCTTCAGTTTAATTGGGTTTTCCCACACTTGTAAACAACTGGCTTGTTAGTTAAAATGTAACAGTAGGGGTTTTGCAGAGCAAATAAAGAGGATTTTAACTAAAATCATTTTCATACTAAGGATGTTTTACTTGGTTTAGCTTCTATTAAAGTAGCTTTTGAGCATTCATGGATTTCCAGTTATAAAACATGATACTATGGCCATAAGATAACTTTTTACTCATACCCTTCTTTTTCTCTATGGCCATGGGATGACTTTTTATTTATGAAGATGTTTTGAGGGAGTATTAGAAAGCCAGACACAGGAAGAATATGATACTCTCATCCCTCTTCTTCTATTCTGAGAATGTTAATTCCTGCTGCCGTCTGTAAATACAGAACCATCCTATATCTATGTGGCTTGGAGTCTGTAGGCTCTTGACTGTGAAGCCATATTGATTTGAATTTATTCGTATTATTGCTCCAGCTTATAGCTCATAAACTGACATCCTCAAAAATTGCACTCAGTAACCTACCCTCTATGCAAAGGATCAAGTTAATCCACCTATTTAAAATTGTGGCCAATTTTAAACAGGAAGTCTTCTGTATCTTGTTAACTGACTCTCCTAAAGAATGAGCTCTATACTTTTTTTTTTGGCTCAATGAGAAGCAAAGGCAAAATTTTAAAAAGTAGATTAACTGCTGAGCAGAAGGCATCACATCTGAACTGTTTCCAATCTGAACAGAAAGTGTCTGTCTAGATATATGTAGATGCATGTCAAACACTCTTACAGATGCACTGGCACACTTTAGCATATATTGAACTGGCTTCCTCAGGCACCACATTATTAATGGAATAAGGCGCTTTGAGAGCAGCAATAGATACAAACACTTGGAAAGGAAATGCTAAGAAGTGATGTAGATCATGGTGCTTTAGAACTTAGTTCTTTAAGATGTTAAGAGATTTAAAATTCTTCTCAAGAAAGCTATCAGCATTTTAATGAAAAATTTTTTCTAGGGAGGGATGATTGTGTATCTATCTATCTATCTATCTATCTATCTATCTATCTATCTAATTTTCCTGGAGTAACTACAGAATACAGTTCTGTTCTTTGTCATTAGTCTTAAGTACGTTAAGTGCAGGGTGTTTCGTATCAACACAGGCTCTGTCAAACGGTCATTACTGCTTGTCAATGTGTGTGTGTGATTTCCATGAACATCCAGCCAGGGCTGTTTTTGGTACCAAGTAGCCAAGTTCACTACAAATAGAGTTAAAGTCTAATGTATTAGTCCATTGGTAATCTAATATTCAAGTTCAGTGTAAAAGCTTTGTAGCCTTCTTGTGTAAATGTATCGTCCTGGAATGGAACCATTATTTTTAAGGTTAGTCTGTTTTTCTAAGGTGATGAGTACATACAGTTCTTCATTATTAAAGATCATTTTTGTAAATACTATAAGATTTTGACTTTTTAGAAAATGTTGTGGTATTTAGATGGGTCTGATTTTTCTTACCACATGAAATGGTGTATTTCCTACCACAAGGACTAAGTGACTTGGATGGAGAATGAATTGGGCCCCACAATGAAAAGATGAAAAAGAAAAATATTATTTTTGAAAAGGCATCACATCCTGTAGGATATGGGGAATTAGGAAATAATTAAAAATGTCTGGATAACAATAAAGCATTTATAAAATCAGGAGGTAACTAATGGAGCTCCATTGACTTAAGCCAATAATGACTTAGCTTTAATCTATGAATGGGACCAAATGAGTTCTCTGGAGTTTCATCGGCTCAAACCACATAGTTTAATTGAATGTTTGAGTCATTGTCACAAATGTAATGGCATATGGGAAGAGGGAATGACTGTAGTCAGTTTTAGAAGTTTTGTTTTTTTCTTCATTGTTTTTCTTATGCCTTAAATCCTTAATGTGTACAATAATGGGTGATTATTGATGTTGTAAGTAAAGATTAAGTTGAGTTCATCATTTTTGTATGATTTATGTTTAGAAGTCCTCTTTATAAGGGAAATTATTTGTAGTTTGATTGAATTATGAGCATTTAGGTTTTTACCTCTGTATCAGTGCTCACTTTTAGGGTTTATTTTTTGAGCAAATAGATCCGTGTTTAAAATGTGTTTGGGTGCTTTATTGTTTGTTTATGATGGGTTGCTAATATTTCACTTATGAATTATTTGCTTGATATTTTTCACAAGCACAATAGAAACTTTTGATTTAAACCATGTGGAAATTCAGCACATTAAAAGATACTTCTGTTTCTATTTGGCATAGATATTAAACTTCATTATGTAAAGAAAAACTTTTTTACAGCTTCATGTACATATTGTTCAGGTGATAAAAATTTGAGGTAAATTTTTAAAAACTATTGTTTTTTTTCTTTTATGAAATGGTGTTAGAGAAACACAGGTCCAGAATTTTTGTTATGATAAATAAAGATATCTTTAAACACACAGTAAATTACATACATTATCCAGATTTTGTATAGAAATAGGAATAAATTTTCAGTTTTACCAAGAGATTGGTTAAAATTCTGCAATTTGTGGGATAGTCACTGCCTTCATTCTGTTGAATCAGTTTTTTTTTCTTCATGTTAGGGAGATAAAAGCAGGTAAGCACACACATTTTGCCTTCTTGATATATAATAACAAAATATATGTGATTTGGGCACCATACTTGAGAATAAATGAATGGCCCTTTTGTGCAGTTGACCCGAGTATCTTTGTTATTCCTTAAGCAATCTTGAGCCACAAAGGAGGCATCTAGATTGCCAAAGTCAAATCTCTTTCAACTACATAGTTAATTGACATTAGGAACTTCCCACGACCAACAATGACTGTAATTTCTACAAGGTATTGTAAAATGGCTAGCATGCATTGGTTATAAAATTCTTATTTATGAAAATAAACATAGAGCTTTTCTGCAGGTTTCTAAGTGTTTTTTTCTCCCCAGAATGGGACCTTAATCTATTAAATTATTGTACAGTTCTCTCATATGCCCTCACAAACTCAGTCTTCCGTTAAGGAGACAAGTAATGCAGGGATGTCCTGTACTTCTCTTTCCATTTATTGTGGGGCTAGTGATAAATAAAATGCTTTTAAAATGCAAAAAAAAAATTAATAATACCCATTAAGTTTAAAATTAAATGAGACACTCCCCTTGTTTTCACTGTATTTGTTGTTTTTGGATACAGAGGATTGTGGTGGTTCTCTCCTGACTCTGGCTGTTAATTTTTTGGCTTCTCTTCTTTCTCCTTGAATCCTTGTCATGCTCTTAACAACTATCTGTGTGTCTGTGACTCCCAAATCTGTATCTCCAGGCCAGGATGGCTGGGGGCAAGCTCCTCAGACATAATCTGGGCACTGCTTCTTTGCTTTTGTGGTGACTATTTTATGTCCAGAACAGTTGACAATAATGAGATACAATGGAAAGCATGTCTTATTTAAAGTCTTGAAAGGCAAGGTTCCTGTCTAATAAAAAAAAATTAGAAAATAACAAGTATGCAAAAAATGTTTGTGACTATATGCAATATTAAAGGGCATGTGATACTCTATGTTTTATTCCTTCCGTTTTTTTGGTAACTGTTAGATATGACTTCTTGGGTTGGGAATGATCCAAGCCTGGATGTACCCAGCTCTCCTTGTGACAGCGTACTAAGTTTTTGTATTCACAGATGACAAATAGCCAAGAGAGGGTGGTTTGTCTATAGATTCTCTGGCCTGATGGTCTGCTTCCATTCT